AGGCAGAATGTCCATGAGGCTGGCATCATATTCAAAAACACATGCTATGATTAACTGATTCAACATTTTTGAGCTTTTAACCATGTTACAACATTCTTCCTGTCTTGTGGGGAAGTGAATGAGGATCCGCAAAGCCAAAAATAAGGGTTTAATGATTATGAAAATGAAAGTCCAGGTGAAAACAAAGTCAAAATCCAAAAGGCACATGGAACACAGAATAAGGAACAGGACGGAACAGACATTGACAATTCAATGGACCAGCAACTAGGGGAGAGGAGCACAGGGTAAGTACAGACACAGGCAGGGCAGACCATCGAGGGGAACAGGGGAACTAAAACCTCTGAACTGATTACAAAATAAAACCAAAGTACAAATTAACTATAAATCCACACCATGACAGTTCCTCAATCAAAAACAGACTTGGAATAGTTTTTAGATCCATCCATGCAGGAACTTCTGACTCAAACATGTAACTCTCTGCCCCTTCTGTCTAAAAGCTCCTTTCTGTATTAGTATGATGTCATTTTAACACTATGACATCATAATTCTCTCTTTTTAGACAAAATTGGCCCAAATGTTGTTGAAAGGGCCATTTTAAATTCAGAAAAAAACCATCATTTGCATCTCCCTCTGGTGGTAACATAGGGACAGGGCAGGCTGGTGGCATTATTTACTATACTAGTTTCACCATACACTTTCTCCTGAAGGTAATAATTCACGTTTTCCATCCATTTACTCCCGCTTCATCTGTTGCCCAGTTGTGGCAGCAGCAGCAGTCTAAGTCCACACCATAGACTGTAAATATTAACGAACGTAGTCACGCCTATCTCCACTGTTCTAACTAATGTGCCACAACTTCCGCAGTCTATGGGCAGTTTCAAAATGGCTGCGGGGGTTGGAAAATGAGAAAAAATGCATCTGCGCATGCGTCAGCTGCACGAGCTTCATTTATTTAACGAGTGCCTTCAAAAAAACAGAGCGACTAAACTAGACTGGTCCAAAAACATTCACTCCCCTCAGCATTGACACACATGTGGAACGGAGCTTTGGGCCAAGGGCCAACTTTTGGACCATCCTGTATAGACGTTTTCGAGAGGTCTGCCAATGCTAGCAATAATGTTAGCATTGGCTAATTCTCATTCCGGGTCCACCCCCATCGGCCCGGGGTGGTATTGCAAGCGTGTCAGCGCACATCATTTTGGCCACTTTTGAGCCGGGACCTGCCTCCTAGTCCAGACTTCCCTCTCCACACACACTTCTTCCAGCTCATCTGGGGGAATCCTGAGGCCCCGGAGAGACACAGTCCCTATGTGTCCTGGGTCTGTCCCTGGTCTCCTCTTGGTGAGACATGTCCAGAACACCTCCTCAGAGAGGTGTCCAGGAAACATCCAGAACAGATGCCTGAGCCACCTCTACTGGCTACTGTCGACGTGGAAAAGCAGCGGCTCTACTCCGAGCTCCTCCCATGTAACTTGCCCAGCCGCTCTGCAGAGGAAGCGTCTATCTGCCATCTCCTTTCGGTCACTAAAGGTAAAGGTGCACTTTATTAATCCCGTAGGGCAATTCATCCTCCTGATGCCACCAAAGGCTTACGTCAAGAGCAGTGGTCCCCGTAGTACAACCCGGGAACCATCTCCAGATGATGATACTCTGCTTGGTCAGGACCAGAGCTGGAGGACGTAAACTAGTATGCAGTGCCGCCCTGCCGCCTGGGTCGCCATCTGCAGGATGGGGCACAAAATTGCAGTCTTAATTATTATCATTATTTTTTAAGTTTCCTTTTATTCTGTTATTCTTCTAAGTGTTTCCCATAACATAAGATAAAAAATAAAACAATTTATGTAATCACATTTGAACCAGAGAAAAGTCAAAAAGCGTAATCTGGGTCTTTTAAAGTGAGACGTTTTTAATTGTAATTCATTTGACGAAGATTATGTACAGGACTACTCCATATCACACACACAGAGACAGACACACGTTCACACACAGATACACACATATGTATGTATGAATGTACACACACATACAGTACATACATGTACGCACACACACGCACAGCAGGAGGCCAGTCCCTGTGCTTCCGGTCTGGCATTTCTCTTACAAAACAAATAGTTATTTCACAAAAACTTTTATAAATTTGCTTTGAACATTCTGTATTTTTCAACATCAGTCAATCGCATTGTATTTATAAAGCACTTTTCATGCAGAAGAGACAGACATACACATACAGAGACATGCATGTGTGAATGCCTCTGTATGTGTATGTGTGTATGTCTCTCTGTATGCACGTATGTCTCTGTGTGTATGTCTCTCTTAAATATACAGAGAGACATACACACATACAGAGACATACCAGTAGCAGAGAGCCGCCTGCAGCCACAGGGGGACGACACAGGAAGCCGAGGCTCACATCGCTCAACTTGCAGCTGCTCCAGGATTTCCAGGAGGATATCTACGTTGGAATTCACCTGCACCTGTTTTGCCACTTCCTGAACCGGCCGCTGTTCAGATCCAGGACTGAGGCTGTAGATCCAGGACTGAGGATGTAGATCCAGGACCGAGGATGTAGATCCAGGACTGAGGATGTAGATCCAGGACCGAGGATGTAGATCCAGGACTGAGGATGTAGATCCAGGACTGAGGATGTAGATCCAGGACTGAGGGAGTACTGTAGATCCAGGACTGAGGCTGTAGATCCAGGACTGAGGCTGTAGGTCCAGGATTGAGGCAGTAGACCCAGGAAACTTATGATTATTATTATTTCATTTTTTCGTTTCAAATCATTTACCCCTTTATTAGTCCACTCCTGGATCGGGGGGTGACAATTAGAGCTGCCACCAGGTGCTCAATGCACCAGTGACACAGCCTAATGTTTCAGGTGCACTGTAAAAATGAAAAAGTTAGTTCAACTCAAAATTTCAAGGTAACTGGCTGCACTCGACTTTTGAGTTGAAGCATCAACTTAATTCTTTACGTTTTGAAGAACTACAATCATTAAGTTGTGTCAGTGTTTCTTGTTCTGCCAACTGCGTTTTTGTAATTCAAGTTACTGGGACTTTCAAGTCTGTAAAAACTTACTATTTTTAGTTCAGATTACCGTCCTCTACAATAACTTACTATTTTGAGATTAAATGACCCCCCACATTAAATCATCCCGTTTCATCCTCATGTGTATTTATATGACACTTTTACAGACCAAGGTCACTTGGGTAGGGGAAACCGGAGCACCAGGAGGACACCTATGCAGACACTGAGAACATGCAAATTCCACTCAGAAAGCCCCTGTTCCAACCGGGATTCGAACCCTGGACCTTCTTGACAAGAAGCGATAGTGCTATCCACTCAGACACTGTGCCGCACACACTGTGAACCCGAATAGTGGCGAAAACTAAAGTTTCTTAAGGAAACTTGTTCCCTCAAAGATTAGTTTTATAAATACCATAACAATATAAGTTCATTAAACACAGTCTTTATTAACACTCTTTAGCCCACTAGAATAACTTACACATTGTTTGTACTAATCCGTTTTAGTTTTATAAATGCCATGAACATAACAATATAAGCTCATTGGACGGTCATATATTAGTCTTAAGGTCCTGAACTCTAGAACTCTCAGATTGAGAAGCAATAATGCTTTCAGCTCAATTAGAGTTTAGTTTCTGTAAAGAACTGCATTCAGACACAGTGACCTTTGATTACAATTAGAACATTCTACAAGACTGACCCAGGGAATATATAGTGATACTTTGGCCTGGCCCTGTCAATTACTGTTGGTAAAAATAAAACAATGATTTATTTGGTCAAATGAGTTTATTTAAAATGTTGAATGCAGCCGGTTGCCATGACAAATGTGAAATGAGCGCAGATAAGTTGACCTCACTCTAACTCAGTGCACTGTAAAAACGACAACTCAAAATTGTTCACCTTTTTGCATTCACTGACAATAAAATTAGCAGTTGTAACTTGAACTGTCTGTTGTGATCCACTTGAACTCACTTTCAGAAGTTGATTAAGTTAATTTTACTTTAACTACAACTTCAAAGTAAAATCAACTTAATTTATCAAATAAGGTGATCTTTTTACCAGAAACTTCTGAAAGTGAGTTAAGGTGGCCCACAACAGACAGTTCAAGTTCCAACTTGCAATTTTAAGGTGAACAATTTTGAGTTGTCGTTATAGCAGTGTGGGGCTTCAGGCAATGTTGTGTCTTGCCCAAGGACACAACAACAGGATTCAAACCCACTTCCTTCAGGCCCATCGGCCAATGCTCTACCAACTGAGCTACTGTCGCCCCATTATACGCATTTTGTTCGCATTTTGTTCCTTATAGTAAATGGGTGGTGGTGACGGGAAAACCGGAGCGCCTGGAGGAATCCATCCGGACAGAGAGAAACACCACACAGAGAGGCAAAGACAAGAGACAGAACCCACAACCTTCTTGATGTGAAGCCTGATTTCTGCCCAGTCAGCCACTTTGCTGCTAAACAGGACCACACCAGACTCTGCAGTCGTTCTAGTTCAGAGTCGGGATCAAAGGACAAATACATAAACCTCAGAAGACATTCGCGCACCACATGTTGAGAAACCTGTCATAGACCTATTTCTCAAACGCACAACACAGCTTTTCTGAGGTTCAATGATTAAAGTCCTTCTTTCCCTAACCTCCTTCTGGGTGCGTTCCCATTCATTCCAATTGAACGCAAGTGAACGCAACCCCAAGAACGGTTTTTAGAAACAGTTTAGTCCTGTTTGAATCCATTTGACGCCATCTTTTTCCTCACAGAACCTCAATGTCTCTAAGATGAAAATGCGTCTAAATGGAACTAGCGTGATTGCTGAGTTGGCAGTGCTCAGGCCTCACAGCAAGGCCAGGTCGTTGGTTCAAATCCTATGGTCTGATCTTGCAGTGTGGACATTTGTACATATTTCTACGTGTCTTGGTGGGTTTCCTCCGTGTACTCCAGTTTACCACCACCTCCCAAAACATAAAGATCCTCCATTTACTGTATGTTCGAGGGGTTGAGCTGCTTTTGACGGGGTTGGGCTGTTGATGTTTGCTCCTCGATTTCCTGTTTTGACTCAACGTTTTCAGCTTTGGATCTTGCAGAAAGCTCAGTCTGCTGATCGCCTTCGCTCTTCGGTTGAGATTTTTCCAGCACTGCGTTCGCTTTGCTTCGCACCATCTTCTCAAACAACTGAGATCTGGATGTAGATCTGGATGTACTCGGCTTGCTATGTTTCACGCTTTCTTTTAGATCTTCAGAGGCATTTGTAGCTTTTTCATTTCCAGTCCTCACACAGTCATAATCTGGTGATTGTGTTGCCAAAACACTTGTTGGACTTTGGATCAAGTTTTCTATCGCCCCATCACCTTCAGTCTCCTTGGTCATTTCTTTGTGTTGAATTTTTGCGATTTGATCTTTCAACTCGCGGTTTTCCCTTTGAAGCCCCCGCAACATTCCACGCAAAGCCTTTTCCCTCTCTACAAAAGTCTCCTCCATCAGAGACTCCTTCTGTTCTGATACCGACCTGTAACTGAGTAAGATGTCGATCAGTTCAGTGTACTGTGTTTGGAGCGAACCCACTATCTGCTGTAGAGGCTGTTGCTGCCGCTCCATCTCGAGAATCTTGCAGTCTTTTTGCCTCAGAGCGGCCTGAAACGCTGCATGGTCCTCCTCAGACTTGTGCTTCAGGCGTTCGATCTCGGCCTGAAGCAGATCGTGGGTCTCGTCTCCGTTGAGCTGTGTCATTCCCATGTCCTTGGTTTCTGAGGCCTGCAAAGACGCATCAGTCGTCAACTCGGCGTTAGTCCTCAGTCTTTGGCATTCTTGAGCTGTTATTATCCACGCGGCTGTAGTGCTTTTAAATTCGACAGAACTATTTATGGCCTTATTTTGTTTTGGTCCAGTCTGGACTCCCTCATGCTGTCTAGAACTCTTGGCACCCATCTTGACAAAATTTGCCGTTCCTTATCTAATTTGTATTATTTATCCAAATACATGGGCAGCGGTCATTTTTGTTTTAAGAGGTCAGTGATCAAGTAATAATGACCGGATGAACATTTTGAACCCTTAAATCAATGGAGTTTCCTGGAGTGTTTTATGCAAACAAATTAAATTCTAGAATTGGGTGATCTCACAAAGGTCTCCATGGCAACAGTGGTTCTGGAATCTAACTTACGGCACCTGTGAAAATCCATTCACGTCTCCATGGCAACGCCTTGTCACTTACATAGGGTTTTTGATCCAAGTTTTTGTCAATTTTTACTGTGATATGAACATGGTTTAAAAGGCTTTTGATTGGCGTACAAGCTTTCCCCAAACATAATACATGTTGTTGGCAGGGTTGGCCCAGGGCATAGGTGACCCAGACGGTGGCCTGGGGCGCCATCTGCAGCATGGGGCACAAACGACGTAAGTTTAAAAAAAAAAACACAATAAATGTGTACTATAAACTCAATCAAAATCTTCATCATTGAACCCTGCTACTGTAGGCTGTACTCTTGTCACGCCAAGGTGAGTTGGTGGGTGTACAATTTAATGATTTATTTTTTATTTATTTATTTATTTAAGCAGGGACAGTACATATTAATGAACATTTAGAAATATGTAAATATGTCAGATTTTAGCCATAGGCTAATTTCCATCTGTTGTCCAGGTTGATGTGTCCGACGCCATTTTCGTCGGACAGGTTGATGTGAAACTTCACATTCAGGTTGATGTGAAACTTCACATTCAACATCCATCCATCCATTTTCTACCCTTTAATCCATTTCTGGGTCAGGGGGGTGGCAAATCAGAGATGCCACCCAAGTCTCATAGCACCAGCCCCTCACTGACCCTCTGCAGGTGATGAGTCCACAGGAGGACGGCTGCTCACTGAGTGAGAGCAATAGCCTTGATCTTTCAGTGGGGGCTTTGGGCAAAGTGGGGTTAAGTGTCTTGCCCAAGGACACAATGACAGCAGTCATCAGTGGGAGTCGGTGTAGAGGTGGGAATTGAACCCACAACCTTCAGGCCTGAAGGCCAATGCTCTACCAACTGAGCTACTGTCACCACTCAACATCAACATTCAACATCAACAACAATACTACAGGACAAGGCATATATCACAAAACACATTCACAAATTGTACAAGGTACATTTGGGATTAGGGAGATACACGGACAAAAGACTGGACAGGACAGAGGACAAGGAGGACAAAAAGTGAGTGAATGCGAAGGCGGTTTACTTCCGCAAACCCCAGGATTAACCAGTTTATCCCAAATGTAACAACCCCTTTTAGACTGAAATTAATATATAATAATTGAACTTGAGACGATTAATTTGTAATCCATATTAAATATTTTTTACTATACATATTTGGAGAAAGTAACTTAAGAGTAATGCAGTAGTAATGCATTACAATTAGGTAATTTTGTAGTATAATACATTATTTTGAAATAACAGTAATAAGTAAAACTTAAAGTGATAGTCTGTAACTCTAAATGAATTACAAATTTGAGGAAATGTGTTAAGTTGACCTCCTGGCCTAAATGTTGATATAAAATAAGTCATTTTATTAATTCTAATATTACAGGTAAGTCCCGCCTTCCCTTCTCTTAGCTATAGTTCAGAATCCATGATGCCGTCGAGGTTAACCAGTCATGCCAAGGGCTGTCAATCATCGGCGCTGATGCGCGCAGCTGCTCATGCTCAGTTGTTTGTTTTCGCGGAGCCTCAGAATCAAGCCTCTATTAGGCTCTGGAACGACATGAAAACTGAACAAAGAATTCTGAACATCTGCGCTGAGGTACTTATGTATATACTGAACCTATATCCATAACCAGATCCTCTGCAGATGTGTCCTATAATGTACAGTTCATTCATTAAAACGTTAACAAATAATTCTGAAAACCTCCGTGCATGTGTATTAATAATGTATATGTATAATGTGTTCTCTGATTAACATTTAAATGTGTTACGGAAACGTAGGCGTAGACCAATCAGAAAGGAAGAGGGAGGAGCTTGCGTCGTTTTTTTCAAATCAAGTACCTCTCACTCTCTCTTTCTGACAAACTTCAGACAATCACTTTAATGTATTATGTTTTTGAAGAAGAAAGTTGTAGTAATCATTATTTATATAGCGCCTTTCACAGACCAGAGTCACAGCGGTTTACAATTGTCATTATTGGGTATTTGTCTCTCACTCCACACAAAGATGGGAGGGGTCAGGACAGGAGGCGCATGCCAGACCTATTGTACATGTTTTTAGTGGTAGGGGAAACTGGAGTACCTGGAGGAAACCTACACAGACACAGGGAGAACATGCAAACTCCACTCAGCCCTGTTTTGATCGGGATTTGAACCCAGAACCTTCTTGCTGAGAGGCAAGAGTGCTATCCACTCAGCCACCGTGCCAAGTAACTTGCCCAGCACTGACTAACAGCTGTTTCTTAGGTAAAAGTGAAAAGAGAAGCCATGGGAATGAGCCGCCAAAATGCACATTTTAAATGTAATTGTTTTCAAATCTGAAAGAGGTTTGCGACTCCTCTCACTTCACACTCGTTCACTGTGATGCCCCCTACAAGTATGCATGGTTTTAATGGTAGGGGAAACCAGAGCACCCGGAGGAAACCTACGCAGGCACAGGGAGAACATGCAAACTCGACTCAGAGTTGCTTCTCTTGCTGATAAGCGAGAGTGCTATCCACTCAGCCACCGTGCTGCCCTCATGACCAGAGGCGAGAGAGGGAACCTACATCCACCATCAAATCGAGAGCTCTGATTGCAGACGCTGCTCTCTCTTGATAACAACAGTCCAACACAGCTCTGCATCACTGCACACGCTGCACTGATCCACCCGTCAATCTCCCTCTCCACTCTTGAGAATCCCTGAGAATAAAAATAATAACAATAATCCGTAATATTTCTCTTTCAATGATTACTGAAGTGGATAAAACCTGCCGTCACATTCCTCAGGCCCCAGTCACTCCTCTGTCCATACATTCAAACAGACAGGCTGAGCTAACACGCCCCGCGCGCCTATGCTAGCTCCGCAGTCTCACCTCCACACTCTGTAAATAGCCGTGCCTTTCTGTTGCTTTTGACAGCCTGTGTGTGTGCGTCCCATTGATCACGCCACTGGCCTGACCTGAGACGTGACACGGCCGGGGTCAGGAATGCCCGACGCGAAAAGGTTGGGACGGACATTTAGAAAAAGAAAAGAAAAACGCGACTCTATGGGGAATGTGTGTCTCTACAGCGAGGCCTTTACTTTGTGCTTATTTTTCCACGTGGCTGTGTGAACGGTGCAAACGGCGAATCAGAATTATGGCTTGGCGATGGATGACTCTGCATTCGTCTCGGCCTTCGTGGTTCCACCGGTTCAGGCGTGGACGTGTGGTTGGCGGTTCGCTCCGGCAAAGTAAATGAAACGCGTGGAAAAGGTTTATTTTTCTTGTAGCGGATATGTGTTCGGTGTCATTTTAAAATATGGGTTCTTGAAGTGAAAGTCTGAAATGATGTGAAAATGACTAAAACATATGGATGGAGTTATTTTTGGGGTAAAGTCGGATTGTGTGAGTCAAGAATATTGATTAACTGTGTTCTAAAGTTTACATTTTATTTATTCAGTGGACAGATGACAGTATTAAGATAAGATATTCCTTTAATTGTCCCACGGTGGAGAAATGTCAGTGTCATCGTTGCACACATTACAGCAGAGAAGGAAAACGCACACATCCAACAGTCTATAATTTAATATTATAGACAATAAAATTAAAATATTAAGATGGTAAAATTAAGACGGGGCGACAGTAGCTCAGTTGGTAGAGCATTGGCCTTTGGGCCTGGAGGTCGTGAGTTCGATTCCCACCATGGGACCTACTCCAACTGTTCCCACTTGTGGCAAAGTGGAGGCTGCTACACGCTCCGAAAATAATGACAAATAAAATAAAATAAAGAAAAACCAGCAACGCCAGGGCAGAGTGCCCAAAATAAAATTAAAAAAAGCGCTCTAAGGCGCACAAGTTTGTTCAATCATTAAGAGGCATAGGCAGACAGTCTGTATACTTTGATTTATTATTCTACATTATGTTTAGTTCATTTATAGTGATTCACATCTACTTTACACGAGCCCATCTTCCAGTCACGATGGACTCAAGAGCACAGGTGAACACAAAAAGAATCAGAACAGGGAGAGAAACGAGGGACAGCAGGAGAAACAGCGGTGGGCCGCGATGTGGCCAGTCCTCCAGCCTATGGGTAAAATAGAGTTAACTTACGAGTAACCACAATGCTGTTAGTGTGTGCAGCTAGAACCTACTTTCCTACAGCAATTGCCGAGCACACACCCTTGACGGGTGACGGTTTAAAGGCCAGACCCACAGCCGGCTACGACACACTCGGACCCCAACGAGGGCGGCCAGACGCCAAAGTGACAGAACAGCATGGCTACACAGAAGCAGGGCTCGCGGGGCACAATGCCGCACCGCGGCACTACAACAACAGTTAACATTAGCGGTTGCAACATACCAATATTAGAATTAACACTAACTTCTCTACCTGGAGCAGGAGAAGGGCTGGCGCAACGACCCACAGGAGACGGAAGTGCAGAGGTAAACAAGAGAGGCGACTCGAGGCTATTTATACTGTCTATATGCGCCCTCTACTGGACAGAAATATGGTGGCCAAGACCAGCTTGCCACACACTGATGACTGCTGTCGTTGTGTCCTTGGGCAAGACACTTAACCCCACGTTGCCTGAAGCCCCCGCT